ACAAAACAAAATAAAATAGAAAAACTAGTACTAGAAAAAAAATTAAAAAAAGTAAAATAAAATAAACGACGGAAAATAAACAACTAAAAGAAAATTAAAGAAGAGCTAGAATATCGGGTTGCCTCCCGATAAGCGCTCATTTAAAGTCGTGAGCTCAACTTCTTACCTCAATTTCAAGCATTAATTGGTGGATCGGAGGGAGAAATAGTCTCCAATTTTCCAATAAAAGCACCCTCGGTATATGGCTTCAAACATTGTCCATTTACCTTGAATTTCGTGCCATTTTCACTAGCAACCTTAATGGCTCCATGTGCTTTGACATCAGTCACTGTGAAAGGCCCAGACCATCTAGACTTAAGCTTTCCAGGAAAGAGCCGAATTCTTGAGCTGTAAAGCAACACCTTGTCACCAATCTTAAACTCTCGTTTTTGGATCACCTTATCATGAAACTTCTTCGTTTGCTCTTTGTAGAGCCTATGGTTCTCGTAAGCATTGAGCTAAATCTTGTCTAGCTCGTTCGATTGAAGAAGTCTCACTTCACCGGCCTTCTCTAGATCTAAATTAATCTCCTTAACGGCCCATTGTGAAAGATATTCCATTTCGACCGGTAAATGACAAGCTTTGCCATACACCAATGGATACGGAGTTGTCCCTAACGGAGTCTTGTAAGCCGTTCGCAATGCCCACAATGTATCATCTAACTTCAATGACCAATCTTTCCGGGATTTGTTGACTACCTTTTCAAGGATTCTCTTAATTTGCCGATTAGATACCTCAACTTGGCTGCTCGGTTGAGGATGATAGGCCAAGCCAACCTTGTGGGTAACTCCATGTTTCTTGAGAAGAGCCTTAAAAGTTCGTTGATGAAAATTAAAAAAAAAACATATCAAAAAATAAAAATAAAAAGGTGAAAAAAAAATATTCCAGCCACCCTTTCCCCACCTCTAACCTCGCCGGAACCCTAACCCCACCGGCCCCTTAAGTTCGTCGGAAACCAGCCGGCCACCCCCCTTAGCAACTGAAACCGACTGGCCGACCCTCTACCACCACATCTAACCTACCCCGACCCCTGAAACCAGTCACCCCGACCTTAATCCACTACAAAAATAAAAGATTTTTAGCAACTAATTTTGGCAATAGATTTTTAAAACGTTGCTTAATAGCAACGAAAATATTTTTTTTCATTGCGTAATTAAAAGTGACATTTTATGTTTTAGTTTTTTAATAATTAATGGCTACGTGTTTTTGATTTGTTGTTTAAAACAAATTGTCTTACTTGTTGTTACTAGATGGCATCATATTTTTGTCTTGTTGCCATATAGCAACAAATTATAACAACTGATATTTTATTTGTATTGATTTAGTGTAATACCCCGTACTTTAATACGTATTTTCTAATTAATTAATTATTATTTTCTAAAAAGGATTTTCGTAATTTATTTTACTATTTGAATTTTGGAGCCAAAGTGATATTTGAATTTTGGCGCCAAAAGTATTTTAAAACTTAATTATTATTTTAGGATTTTGAATAAGATTTATTATCCATATTTTAAAAACCGGATTATTTATATATACTTCGAATATTTTAATTAAACAAAAATTATATTTTAATTATTTAAGTTAGGAGGTTCTAAAATTCTTACTAATTGGCTATTAATTTCGGATTTTCCTAGTGTGGAAAATCTAATTTTCTTAGTTAATTTATTTAGTGAATAATTGGTATTCTCTTAATTAATTATTTTATGCAACATATATTATTTACACAATTATTTTTAATTCTTTAAATCTAGAAAAATAACTCCCTAAATACTACTGATGTGGTCCGAAAATTTGAGCTATGGAAGCTCAAAATTTTCGGCCACCATGGTTGGATTTTGGGTGATTTATTTTGGTAATTTGTATTTTTAATTATCTCCCTTAAATTTATTATTATTCCTTAATTCTTATTTCCCATCTCCTAAATATTTGATCATCTTATTTCCCTACCTTATTTCATCCTTGATTATTCCCCAAGCAAGCTCTTTTGCCATATTATTTTTCATGACAACACACTTTCCATAAATGAATTATTCTTAGCCACCTTAATATTAAACTTTCCATAATTCTTTAGCTTCCTTCTCCATTTAATTTCCTTAATTCTTTTTACCATAATTCTTCCTACATTCTCCTACCATAATTCTTGCATGAGCTAGCCTATAAATACCCCTTGATTCATGGTTAAACACTCACACCAAAACTCTCTAATTCTCTCTTAATTTCTCTCTAATTCTCTTCTCTTTTTCTCACCTTTTCTTGCGTCAAACACCACAACCACCACCCTCCACCTCCGGCTGCCACCTGCCGTCGACCACAGCCACGGCAGCCACCAGCTGCCCTCCTTGCCGCCACCTTCTTCTCCTCTTTTCCTTGCTTTTCTACCTCTTCTTCTTCTCTTCTCTTATTTAATTAATTATTATTATTATGGGGTATTTATAAAAATTATTATGAGTAGTTTTAATTAAATAAAATTAGATTTTTTATTCAAGTTTATGAAAAATAATTTATAAGGTTCATGTATATATAGTTGGGGGTTTTTAATTTAATTGTTGTGATTATTTCACTACAAGAAAACAGGCCATTTTTGACGAAAAAATTCCGTCGGAAACACCCTGTTATCCGTCGGAAAACCCGTTTTCGACGGAATTTCCGTCAGAATTGGTTGTCGGAAAAGATTTTGTAGGAAAATTCCGTCGGAAACACTTTTTCGACGAAATTCAGTTGTCGGAAGAGATTTTCCGGCCCAGAAAAGTCTGTCGAAAAATGCTGGAAAAAAAACAAAAAAAAAAACCTACCACCACCAACCGTCACCCCACACAACCAGCCCCCACCCCAGCCCTCACCTCACACAACTAGCCCAAACCCTCACTAGACCTACCCAACCCCACCAACCAGACTAACCTCTAACTCAGATGTACCCAACCCCACCAACCAGACTCATCCTACGCCACCAGCCTCTAACCCAGATCCACCCATCGTAAAATCATCACCCAAACACACCGTAACCTTAACCAAACCCACAACCAAACCAAAACCCTACCCAACGCCATACCCACCACGACAGCAACCAAAACCCTACCCAACGCCAGGCCCACCACGACAGTACAAAAAAAAAAAAAAAAACGAAAAAAAAAATTAAAAAAAAAACCCGTAAAACATACCTCAATAACTGAAACTGGTTTGAATTCCATCTTGAATTTGGTTTAATAAGACCAAATTCGACCATGAAAAGTCTAGATCTAGAGTTTTCATGGTCGAATTTGACCTTAAAAACCATTAAATTTTAAACACCAACAAGCAACCAAACCGCCGGTGATTAAAGAGAAGAGGAAAGAGAACAAATCACCACGTCACCAGCGAGACGGCGACACCACAACCCAAAAAAAAAAAATTAACAACACAAAAAACATACCTTAACTGAAAATGGGTTTTGAAATTCATCTTGAAAATTTGGTTAAAGAGAGAAAGAGAAGGAGAAGAGGAAAGAGGAGAGAGAGAGAGAAAGAGACGTGAGAAGAGGAGAGAGAAGGAGAAGAGGCGGAAGGGAGAAAAAGAAAAAATAATCAAGGGGGCTGCTTGTTTAGGACTTTAGGGTTTGTTTAAATGGGGTATCTCCTTTTTTTAAAATAAAAAAAAAAATTATTTTCTGACGGAATATAAATTCGTCGGAAATTGTAATTTACGACCGAAAAATCCGTCCGAATATACAATCCATCGGAAATTTTTGACGGATTTTCGACGGAATTGTTGAATTCGTCAGCAATTTCCGACAGAATATAAATCCGTCGAAAATTTTGAATTTTCCGATGAAATTACATGTTTGTCGGAACCTGTCCATCGGAAATAGGCCGTTTTATAGTAGTGGAATCAAATTATTACAGAAGTTCTAATATAAATTATTGAAAATAGTAATCACAATCAGCAATCATTAAACAAAAAACAACTAACCAACTTGAATTATAAATCATATTGATCGAAATCAGAGACAAAATTGATCAAAATGAACTTCAATTGACTTGAATTATAATAACAAACACAAATTGAACTAAAATAAAGGCTAAATTGATTAAAAAAAACACTTGAGAAATTGAATAAAAACAGATATTCTAATAAGAATTTACGTAAAATAAAAAATCAAAAACAATTTAAAACAAAACAGCAAACAAAATTGAATTATACCTCACATTAATCGAAATCAGAGACAAAATTGATCAAAATTGAACTTAAATTAAATTGAATTGTAACAGCAAACATTAATCGAAATAATAAAACAACTCACATTTATCAACGAATTAATCAAGCAATCGACCAAAAGTAGGAAAAATAACTTCACAATCACGATCAAATTCGGCAATCGAAGAATGCAGGACTTCATTATCACAATCAACAGCTCCAATCAATGATTCATCCATGAATAAGAGAAAAATAACGTGAATGAGAGAGAAATAATGTTGAAGAAGAGAGAGAAACTACAAAAAAACGAACGAAAAAACAAAAAATTAGGTTATGAATCATACTATCTCCGTTTTTATTTAGTTAACACCATTCTCTTTTCACGCTTGCCAACACACTATTTTAATGATTAATGTCTCTAATTCTCGACATTATAAAATTATAAAAAATAAATATTAATAAAATATACATTGAGACGATTCAAACAAGATCCCACTTGATATATTTTATCGTAGCTATAAATCACAAAAGCTAGTTAAAGTATAATTTGTAAATAATGTAAAAGTCAAATAGTGTCAACTAAAAAAAACGGAGGAAGTATATATAAATGACTTGAAAGGTAAGAAAGGAAAATAATAAGAAAAAGGAAACAAAAAAGGAGAAAAAAAATAAAGAAGAAAACCAGAAAAAGAGTAAAACGACGTAGTACTATGGGGGGAGTAGGGAGCTCTACCTGGTGTAGGTAAAAATTTTCGTTGTTCTATGTATCTTTGGGCCTTGTGGTGGGGCCATGGGGAAAAATAGAATGGGCCAAATCTTCCGAAACTGTATGGCCCATAAAGCTCCGGAAATTTTTTTTGTTAAAAATAAAAATTAAAAATAACCTTGTAAAGCTAACGTATTCATTATTGATTTGTCTGTCATTATTTTATATCACCTCCATGTAACGGCCAATCTTCATTCTCCAACGGTCGAAATTGCAAAATTTGAACACCCTTCGCACTAAAAAGGAAACCCCAAAAAAGACTCATTTCTTACTCTTTATATCTCCAAAATTCATAATTTGAAAACTTTCATCAACATTTTTGAGTAACAATTCAAGCAATTGATTGATTTTTTTTTTTCTTTTTTTTTTCTCATGGAAAACTGCAAATTCGACGAATTTACCAAAATAGAAACCCTAATTCCGGGCATTTCATCTTCTGGGGTTTTGGATTGGGAGAAGAAAGATCCACCTGAAATTCACCAACAAGATGTTATGGTCGAAACAACCCTAATTGAAGAATTTAAGGATTCCCAAATGAACGATTTTCAAGAATTTTCTGGGGATTCTATGGTTTGCGACCCGAGTTCGAAATTAGTTCCAAATGGGTTTTCAAGATCTTGTTGTACAGGTTAGGATTTTTCTTTTTTTCCCAAATATTGTTGGTTATTGGTTTTTAAGCTCTTTGAGTTTTGATTTAAAGTGATTACATTTGGAAAAAAAATAAATAAATACAAATTGGGTGTTTGTAATTTATAGTACAGTATAAATTAGTCAAATGTCTACTGCAAATGCTGTCTGAAGGGTTGATGAATTTTTTTTTAATTTATGTAATTAATGTATATGACTAGCTTTTAAACCCGTGCGATACACAGCTAAATGAATGAATTCGAATAAGCATAAGAATGATCTATATACTATATGTTTCATAAATTTTATATATTTGAGCTGTAAATGTGATTCAGTTACCTTGATGAGTAATGCTGATTAGGTTTGAAGGAAATTATTTTGAACTGAAATTTTATTTTCTTTAGGAAATACTGTTAAATGCAACAAAAATCAGCATTTAAACTTGATTTGTTAATGCTTGTTTGTACCTTGCTAAAAATTTTAGAGAGGTGAGATGAAGGGGAAGGAGGGGAGAAGATAAATTGTGCTTTGGAAAATGTGGAATCTGTTTTTAGAACGAGGAATGTTGAACTTAATAGTGATTATACAATTATTATGGTTTAAGGGCTTAGAGAATTTTCTCCTCATCTCCTGATGACTCTTTGCTTTTTGTAACTAGAGGACATAATCACATTTGTTAATGCTGGCTGTGAGGCTTCAAGTCAAGCAGAATTGGTTGTAGAATTTTCGGCAGATGATAAGTATCTAGGCGGGGATGTTACAAGGACAGATGAATGCATAATTGAGGCTGGTGATTACCCATTTGTATATCAGTCTGCACGATTCGGGAACTTTAGCTACCAGTTCAACAATCTTCCCCCTGGGGATTACTTTGTTGACCTTCATTTTGCTGAGATAATGTATACCTATGGGCCTCGAGGAATGAGAGTATTCAATGTCGTGATTCAAGATGAGAAGGCAAGTTTCGGCCTAAAATCTTTCTGATATGACCTCTTTATGCTGAATAGTTGTAGTGTACTAATGATTGTGCTCTAAATGTCATAAAACTGGCAGGTTCTCTCTGACTTTGATATATTTGCCGTGGCTGGAGCAAACAAGCCACTTCGGCTTGTTGACTGTAGAGTCACTGTTAAGGAGGATGGTATGATCCTAATAAGGTTTGAAGGTGTTCATGGAAGTCCTATAGTTAGTGGAATTTGCATTCGCAAAGCACCAAAATTGGCAGGTAGATTCCACCTAGAATTTATAGGTTATTCCAAATCTGACTTCACAAAGATGCAACTGATTCTAATTTTATTATTTTTACTTCTACTTGGACATAGATTCTCAGGTGACGCATGAAGTATTTAGGTGTCAGAATTGTGCAGCTGAAATAGAAGTTCTTCTAGCTCAGGTAAAGAATGGGCACAGTGCAGTTCTCGATTTCTAATGTTAAGTTTTTATTGCTACTTCTGAATCATGTAATGACACTATGCATCAGGAAAAGGGCTTGCGACCGAAATCGACAGCTAAGTATGAGAAAAAGATAGAAGAATTAAGTCAGCAGTGTCAGCGCAAAACAGATGAATGCTATCAAGCCTGGATGTCTTTGACAGCTGCAAACGAGCAGCTGGAAAAGGTTAGAATGGAGCTTGACAACAGAGTTTTCCAGTCTTATTCTCTAGGTAAGCACTTCACAAAGCCCTTTTATGTCAAGTACAACAGGACACTATAAATTTTCACCTTAATATATTTTTTCTGCCATCTGATGTCCAGTATATGAAAAGAGTACTGTGGCATCTTCATGCATCTGCTTCGTAATTCTTCTGGTGCTTTTTTCTTGTTTGAAACAAATTGTGAGATTGCTTCTCAGTTTTAAGTCCTTATTTTATGTCAACTCACTGAAAATTTTCATAAATGAGAGTTCTAATGTATGAGCCTTCTGCTGATAATTTTCTGTGTGGTTTTGGCAAATGATTTGATATTGTGATTATTCAGTCAAGTATATTCTCCAAATATCTTAAATTTAGATACTAAGCCATGCTTATTTATTGTATATTACCTCCCTGATATTTATTTTTTTTTCTTTTTTGTCTATAGACCAGACTGTGGAGAAACAGGCTGAAAGTTTAAAAGCTATATCTAGCAGGTACGAGCAGGATAAGAAGTTCTGGATGACAGCAATATCTGGTTTAGAAGAAAAAATTAAGGTATAATATACAAGTATTTTGCACCCAGCTTTTTAATTAATTGAGCTTCGTCTGCAATGCCTTTATCAAGCAAATGACGAGTTGCAAACTTACACAGAATATGAAGGAAGAACATTCTCAGCTTGCCCACAATGCGCATGAAACTGCTGATTCAATTCCCGAGTTATCCAATATGGTTTCAGCAGTTCAGATGCTAGGTAGGTTTGGATTAAAGACACAGATCATTGTTCTGTTATTCGTGGATGTTAAGAGACTGCATGCAATTTTTCTGCAGTTGCTCAGTGTGAGGAATTCAAACAGAAGTATATTGAAGAACAAAAGAAGAGAAAGAAGCTTTTTAATGAAGTTCAAGAGGCCAAAGGCATGTTCTTTTTATATTGCAGTTTGAAGCTTATCAGTAGTAGAAAAATCCTGATATAACTACCATACAGCTTTTCCAAGATGAAAATTTAAAATGAAGATTCTGATTATTGCTCTTAATTGCAGGGAATATCAGGGTCTTCTGCCGTTGTCGGCCTCTCAGCAAGAAGGAACAAACAGCCGGATATGCAACTGTAGTTGATTTTGATGGAGCCAAAGATGGAGAACTTGCTATTTTGAATGGCGGATCAAATAAGAAGATGTTCAAATTTGACAGAGTTTACACACCAAAGGATGATCAAGGTACACTGTGGAGGGTTTGATTTAATGCTATACAGCTATTGTACCAACTTCTTACTTGGAAGGCTACTTGTTCATGCTGTATGTCTAAGAGCTTTACTCAGCCGTGTTTTCACTATGCAGCTGATGTGTTCATGGATGCTTCTCCAATGGCAACATCGGTTTTGGATGGGTATAATGTTTGCATATTTGCTTATGGTCAAACTGGAACTGGGAAGACCTTTACAATGGAAGGCACAGAGCAAAACCGTGGTGTGAATTATAGAACTCTTGAGATGCTGTTTAAAATTGCCCAGGAGAGGAGTGATACCTACACCTATGACTTATCAGTTAGTGTCCTTGAAGTCTATAATGAGCAGATCAGGGATCTCTTGGGTTCCTCACCAACCTCTAAAAAGTAAATATTGACCTCTTTCCTGTATCCTGTTGCTATGCATTTCACTTTATCCAGAAGCAATAGTGACATATGTGATATGGGCAATGGCAATCAAGTTCATTTTATCAAATGAATTTTATATTCTGTAACTTGCTGTTGCTCATTGCACCTAAAAGACCACTTATTGATCTGTGCTTTTCTCTCCTGGTGGTATCAGGTTAGAGATAAAGCAAGCTTCTGAAGGCTCGCACCATGTTCCTGGAATTGTTGAAGCAAAAGTGGAGAATACTAAGCAAGTGTGGGAAGTACTGCGGGCTGGGAGTAATGCAAGGGCTGTTGGGTCTAATAATGTGAATGAGCATAGCAGCCGTTCTCACTGGTTAGTCAGATTCTGTAAATTGTTTATGCCTTTTGTCTTCAGGTGTTTTGCCTTCAGTTATTGTATTTGTAGCACCCTGCCTCTTCTGCCTAATTTCAGGATAGTTAATTTGCTGTATCTATGTACCCAAAAAATTTATGCTTTTATGCAGCATGCTTTCGATAATGGTGAAAGCAAAGAACCTGATAAATGGAGAAAGCACAAAGAGCAAGCTTTGGCTAGTAGATTTGGCTGGTAGTGAGAGGCTTGCAAAGACGGATGTGCAAGGAGAGAGGCTGAAGGAAGCTCAAAATATCAATAGATCATTATCAGCTTTAGGAGATGTGATATCTGCTTTGGCAAACAAAAGCAGCCACATCCCCTACAGGTCAGTATGCTTGATCATCTTGTATATATGATAGTTACACAGCACGAGCTCATTATTTGACCTTTGTTTACACCATGGTGTCAGGAATTCCAAACTCACACATCTGCTGCAGGATTCATTAGGTAGAAATCATATTCCTTTGATTTTAATTTCCAAGAATAGATATTTTTCTGAATGCTCAAATTCTGCTTTCTACTCTATATATTTTACAGGAGGTGATTCTAAGACATTAATGTTTGTACAAATCAGCCCATCAGAGCATGACTTGGGTGAGACTTTGAGCTCACTAAATTTTGCCAGTCGAGTCCGTGGGGTTGAACTTGCCCCAGCAAGAAGGCAGATGGATACAAGTGAGCTTCAGAAGACAAAGATGCTGGTAGCCTCTTGTTTTTTAAGTGCTTTTATAATAATTTTGCCATTTGAAGAAACTTTTGACATGTTCCCAACTATGCCTCCAACACAATGCATCAGCTTGACAAAGCGAGGCAAGAATCCAAATCCAAAGAGGAATCCATAAGAAAGCTAGAAGAGACCCTCCAAAACATTGAATCTAAGGCTAGGAGCAAAGACCAGACTAATAAAAATCAGCTGGAAAAGATTAGAGACCTTGAAGAACAACTAGGGTTGAAGGCAACTTCACACAGCCATTCGGAGAAGCAGCTTCTACAACTTCAAGAAAAATTGAAGGGCAGGGAAGAAGCTTGCTCTGTTTTGCAACATAAGGTTTGATATACTTCATTATGTTACTGATTATCTTTTTCTCACTCATTTTTGATGGTTAACGCTGCAATACTGTTTTCTGGTTATTGTGTAGGTAAAAGAGTTAGAGGACAAGCTCAGAGAACAACAATTTCATGATTCTGCAGCCTTACAGCAGGTATCTTTTTCTTCTCCTCTGCTGGTATGTTCTCATTATCTTATCTGTTCACTAATCGTGGCATCATTTTTAAAACAGGCAAGGGATCTTGAGAAGAAGTTAAAAGAGCAAGTGCATGAATCTGAAGTTCATTCTCTAGCTCTTCAACACAAGGTCTGGTTGTGTTGCATTACGCTTACTGTGTTTCTTTGTACTTGTCTACAATTCTGTTGATTCTAACTATTATCATCCCCTCAATCTGGATTTTAGATCAAAGAGCTGGAGCAAAAGATAGAGCATGAAAGAAATACCGAGTCTAACTCTCTTCATCAAAAGGTCCCTTTCTATACTAGGGTTATTAATTTGGCATCTAAATTTCATGATTTCAATGCAACGGAAATTATTTTTTGTTAAATTAATGTCATTGACTTGTTTGGCAGATCAAGGAGCTCGAGCAAAAATTGAAGGATCAAGAAAGACAATTAGAGCAAAGGATACTGCAACCTTTGGACCATGCTGAAGTAGCAGGTGCCACTCCTGTTGCAGGAAGGCCTTCTTTACGAGATGAAACAATGATCGAGGCTGATCCCTTTGTTTTGAGAAGCTCCAACTCATCAAACAGGATGAGTCATGGCTCCACAATGTCAAGAAGAAGTGATATTCCCACTGAAACCAGAAGGAAACGAGGGTTCAGAAGTGGAGAGACGGAGAACCAAATGCCCGCTCCAGCTCCTTTCCATGATAAGAAGATCAGGAAATCTGACCCTCCTAAGCCAATATCTCGTGTCACAAAGACCACGAGACCTGTGGCTGCCCCTCCTCAGAGGCCCCTTGTTCACAGTAGAATTACTAGAGAAAAAGATACCAAAGAAAAGGTAGTAGCTAAGAAGAGGATATGGTCCTAATACTTCTTAGATTAGAACTCAAATAGGCATAGCTAACCGTTTATTACAGGCAACTAACTTATGTTGTCTTTGTAGTGTGTAATCTTTGCGTTGAGCTACTCAGTGTGTTTCATATCTATTTTAAGTGATTTTTTCTTACGTTTCTCTTAAAAGTTAAAACTAGTTTAGTCACTTTGAAATTTTTTTTTCACAGGCTAGCACACAACAGAAGATTGTGTATACGCTTGTTCAAGTTAGTCCCCAGTGCAATTAAGGTATTTCTTGCGCGAACACACTACTAACACACTCCTTTCATTTCTACCCCCAAAGCCGGTCACCTAAATTTCCAAAGCCTAGCGAACATCTTGACGATATCTAAATTTTATTTTATCCAGTTTCAACCCAAACCAAAATTGACCCGAACGGAAAATGCATAGTATAATAAATTTACTTAATTGATTAATATTCTCCTCTTTTCAAAAAAAACTGAATAGAAGGTGACAGAGAAGGAAACAAGTTTCTGTGCGATGTGATGAGCGTATGCAATTTTCTCGTTTAGAGAGTGGACGTTTCCACCGTTTAAAAACAAGCTAGTCGTTACAAAATCACAACATGACAAATATTCCCCAACAAATATTTGTTACTGTCTCTTGATTAACAATTATGAAGCTGACATCCTTTGTTATGTCTCTTCCATGCTTTGCTAACACATTTTCTTTATGTTTGTGTCCTACATTATTTTGATACAGTAACACAAGTAACCCTTCTAGTTAAATATAACATGAGTAATAACATAATATTGGTATCGATAATTAATTCTAGCTTCCAAGACCTTTGAAATTACAATTTTATTGTTATTGTAGATGGGTGTAATAAGGTTGATAGTTTAAGCTTTTAATATTCGGCAATTGGTAGGCCTAAACCATAAAAGTGGATAGTAATAATAAAATGAAGGCGGGTGTAAAAGATTAATATCACGATTAAATTAGAATGGGGAGAATATCTAAAGCAATTAAAATTCGGCCCTTGATATAGGCCCCATAATAAGTTTCTTCCTTATGAAAACAGGCCGTTTCTTCCATTTTCTATTGAGTTACTTACTTACTTGTACGAGTAGTACCATGCATACATGATACAACCCTTCAATAGAAGAATATAATAATCAAACTCTGAAAATCATTAATATATTTGCATTGATTATTGAGCCATGATTTAAAAAAAAAAGTACCATTGCTACTAAGGTAGGTACTATACTACTACTGTGGTAATAATTCTTGTGATGCAATATCATAAAAGAGCCGCTTGAACTTAATGAATTTAGTTGTTCGATCATGAAGTGTAATTTTTGGCTAGCTAGCAAGCTTCTTCATTCAATTTCATTTATTTATGCAACTAATTTTACCTACGTACAAAATATATTAAATGAAGGTGTGTGGGTCCATATGATACAATGCTAATTACTCTCTCCGTCCCACAATATAGTTTCTGTTTTCCTATTTTGGAGATCCAAAATGTTGTTCCCGTTTCTATTTTTGGATAGGACCTTTATACCATTATTTTTTTTAACTTTATTCATTGAACTTCCTAATTTACCCTTAAATTATCCACTTGTATTGTACTTTTTTCCACTTTCTCTCTCTAACTTTTGTCTTTAATAGTACTTTTCACTTTTTTTCCCCTTAAATTATCCATTTGTCTTGTACCTTTGTCTAGCTTTTTTCCACTTCTCCTCTTATTTCTTAAATACAGTGAAAAAACACAATAGGAAGTATATTATGGGACGGAGGGAGTATAAATGAAGAGTAACAGTTCAGTTTGTTTCTGATTGATTGAATAAAGTCCATTGTTGTTGTATAATATAATGTTCATATCATATACTGTAATATATAGTATGTAATATTGTGGGACATACAACTATATAATATATGATATGTCATGAACTTCTTGCGTTTTGTGAAGTAGGGATTGACGGTTTTGAAAATGACAGTATCATCACATATAAACAATATCAAGATTGATGCATCACATGAAAGATCCCCAAGCTAGCTAACTGCTTAAAAAAGTTTTTTCCATTCAAGTTGTGAATCTTTCACGTTCATCATGCATGCTCTTCCCTAATTCTTAGCTAGCTTCTTGTTCCATCTATCCCCACTTCAAATCTTCATCAGCCACACAACGTTTCATCACCATCACAGTACATGTGATTTGTTGGTTCGTGGTTCGTTCCGAACAATTCCTATGTTGTATCCTTAATCGGGTGTACAAAAATTGTGTTAGCTCTACTAATCGGTGTTTGCAACACAAAAGGTGCACCGTACTTATGATTATTATATGAATGACGTATATCAAACATGCAACACGAGAACATATATGGAAGTTGTATATATGCCGATTGTGTTCTGCACGTAGACTCCTGGCTAGACCTACTGACAAACGTGTCATGTCGTATCGTGTTCGTTTTCGTGTCGGAAATTAAACGGGTTGGGGAAGATCAACACTAACCCGACCCATTTAATAAATGTGTCATGTCATGTTGACTCAATTAATTAATCATATCGAAAACCCTTAACACTAACCCGCTTTGTTTGTGTTCGGTTCGTGTCATGTTGTCGTGTTTAATTGAAAAATATTGGTCTTATTCAATATATTTATCAATAATTCCATAAATTATTGGGTTTTTATATTAGGCGGGTTGGGTCATGTTAATTTCGTGTTGAGAATCTCAACACCAACCCAACCTGTTTAATTAAACGTGTCGTGTCGTGTTGACTCGTTCAATTAAACGTATCGAAATCTCTTGACACTAACCCATTTTTTCTGTATTCGGTTCGTGTCGTGTTAGTTTTTGCCAGCTCTACTCCTGGCTAACTCCCTCACACTGCGCAAACATGTGTTGGCAGTGGAATAATTTAGAGCACGCAGTTTGAGTCCCGCTTTATGTAAAATGTGTTTATAACATGTTATATGTCATTATTAATTCATTTCATAGCGAACTAGCTAGGTCAAATATTATGTACTCAATTTGATTTATTTTTTAACTTAATTGTTTTAGTACAATCCATCATAATTAATTTATTGATTCAAGGGAAAATTATATTGAAATAAAAATTGATGTGGAATTTAAAATTTAGAATCAATGCCATACATAGTTTGTTCTTTGTCTTGATTGAGCTTGAAGTTTATTGTTCAAATATAATATAACTTATGCTATCATCACATGCAATATTTTTACAGTTTATAGTTCATTTTAAATCAAGAATTATGTTAATCTGAATGGAATAATGCACAAAGAGATTATTTAAAATATTCTAAGGAGAGACTAAACTATCATTGTTGATGTGAAAACTAAACTATCATTGTTGATGTAAATCAAGAGACTAATTCTTTTGAAGGGTCTAATACACTTTTAAAAGGTCCAAATAGCTATAAGCTGCCCAAACAAAGAAATAAACAAGGAAAGGTCCACTAGATCAATGGGGAAAGAAGGAAGCTTGATCACCAAGGATGAAGATGTGCAGCAGTGAACTTCCGGCGACTATGACTGTGGCCACGCGCCGATATGGGGCCCACGCGCTGGCTTCTCGACACCGGAATGAGACCGGCTACATTCCGGTCAGGTGCGTGTCACGTGGGGTGGCGCGTGTGGTGGTGAGACAACGGCAAGTTGAAATGGATGATTTCTTTTACTTAGTTTTTTTTTCTAGAGTTTTTGCTTGCAAGTTTTTACCTTTCACTTGAAAGGATTTTTCTTGATTTAAGCACTTAGGATAAGTTTTATTTTCTGTTATTTAGTTGTTATAAACTTCCTAAGGTTGTTAGGAAATTTTTTAGGTAATTAGAGTTTGTTTAGGATTAGTTTTCCTATTCTAATTAGAAGTAGTTATTCTATTCTAGTTAGGATGTTTGGAGAACAAGGTTAGGGGTTTGTCCTCATCCTTGTAGGAGTAGAATTAGTTGCCTCCTATGTCTATAAATAGGGGTAATTTTCGTGGCTTTAGATAGATAGAAAAATCAGATTGTTTTAATACAAATTGTTTAACTTTGCTTAAACTTTTCTTTGTTAGTTTTCAATTCAAGGAGTTGTTTTGATGATTAGAACGTTCAATTCTTAGTTCTAGGAGTAGTCTAAGTTTCGATCATCAAAATACTTAGTTCCAGGAGTGGTCTAGGTAGTTTGAATAGGCATTGAATTCGTTCCAGGAGTGGTCGTTTTCAAAGTCATATCCAATCCGTTGTTCTTAAATTGTTCGATTTTCTTAGGAAATTTGGAAGGCTTGTGTTACTTGTGTTATTTTAGATTCTTTATTAAGTTAAGGGGTTTAAATCCACATCAATTGTTCATTTGTTAGTATTTCACTATTCTTCAATGTGGGATAATTGTATCTTAAAATGGTGCTTTCAACATGTGAGTCATGATCGAACGATCCATTCATCGGATCTTTATGACCTAAACACACAATGCATTTCACTAATCAATCAAAAGAAACTATAAGTCCAAGTTTATGATTCTAATTATGGCTAGCTCCAACCGCATTATATAGTCCTATATTAAGTTTTCACCGCGCAGTTGCGAGATAGAGCAGCCAATCAATATCTAAAATTCCTAGTGAAATTTCATCCGAAATCAATCAACTATATGTCGAGTAAACAACTAAACTTACCATGATTCTATATCGAGAGAGAAAAAACAAAAACTCCGTACTTGTATATACTATATGTAAAGAGTACCATTTTTTTTTTTGGATCATATAAAGAGTACCATTTAAATGTACAATATGCGTGCTTATTTTTTTATGGCCTGGTTTAGAGGTTTGTTCAAAATTAGTGGACCGTAAGATACTTGTAACATATATTACAGCACCTACTAACACACTGCTGGTAAAGAGGCCAGGTGAAAAAGGCTGTCTGGCAACAAAGCATCACATTTTACGAGCCTTTTACTAATTAATTTTCAAATTAATTTAACGTTACAATTAACAATCTGATTGTTCCCTTACACAAGTAATTCCAAACCCATAAAAGACATAATCTTACCTTCATTTTCAGTTAGGGCTTACCACTTGCCAACTCCATTATTTGCTGCTGTTTTTTTTTTTAAAAAAAAAAAATTTACTAGTATTTTTATGTTATGTAATATAGTGATGTATAAAAAGGTTGGAATTATACCTATTATGATTATGGGAGAAAATAAAATAAAGGTATGGGAATGAAATAAGCTGATTTTACATTACATCATCTAAAAAAGGAGAGGAACCTACCAAAAAGTTTAAAGGAGTATATGTTCTTTAGGAAAGTTTTTGCATGCATGTAAATTTAGATAATACATCAAATTATATACCATGAAAAAGCTTATAATAAAGTGTATTTTATATTAGTACTAAGATTATTGTCACTTTTTTGTTCTTTTTTGAAATTTGGAATGACAGAGAACATTATAAAGTTGATTGGATCATCATATATATATATTTCAAATTATTTAGTGATGTAAAATGCTAATTTTTGTTGACATTTTAAATTATGGTCCTAATTCTTTGAAATAAAGAATGAAAGTAGAAAATATTCAAAAGCAAAAGGCAAAGTGTTGAAAGCAAAAGCAAAATGTCCTTAATCTTAATTTGCTTTCTCTTTCAATTTTCCTTTTGTTTTTTTTCCTATCTCTTTCTCAATATACAGGTATTTTTAATTAACAACAAAAACAGCAGAATAAGATGTTGCTGTTGTTTATGCTCTAGTCTTGGTTCATTCTCCGAGATCTCCCTGCAATAGCTAAGCCCAAAACATCTATTTTATACTATTAATTACTCTCTCCACTCCATAATTACTCCGTAATAAACCATCTTTTGAAATCATGTCATCACTTCAAAACTCCGATCCATATTTTGTCAATACATTAGCTTAGTATATCAAAATAACAATTAAATAACACCTCAATATACAAATATTGTGAATAATGGATATAACATGACCCTTTTTTTTTCGAAATTATTTTTTAAAATTATCCTTAATTCCTAAAAATATCTGATCTGAATGACGTCTTTATACATTATTTACCACACCTGTTTTTTTTTTTACAACCCTTCTTGCAAAGCAATAATGCAAGACAATAAAAAAGAAAAGAAACCCTAGAATCAAATCCTATAGTTTCTGTATCATTAATGTCTCTATCTTGGCTATGATATACTATAATAGTAGTGGTAGTAGTAAGATGTTGACAGTGCTTAAAATTAACTCAATAGAAGCCTCCCCTTTTTGAGACAATAAAATTAGAATTAAATACAAAACTCCAACATTTTTTATTTTCATAAATAAATGGGAAACCCAATGCATTAGCATGACAGTTTGTTTATAGATAGGTGAGTAATAAAAAGGGTTGAGTGAATGTGATAGAAGTGTTGTCTGCTTGACTGCTGTCTGTTTACAGAATCTTACTACTTGTAGACTGCCTGCATCCCTGCTTCTTTCTTTCTCTTTCTACTTTCAGAGAAGATGATAATTCTGACTCAATGCAACATTATACAAACATACATTACAATAATACAGATTATAATGTAGGCTAGCTAAGATATGGTCTAGTAATTTGAGGTTCAAGATTGTTTATTTTACCAACAAGATATGGAGTTTTTTTTGTACAAAACCCAAAGCAATTCTTCTAGCACTGATCCCAGAATTAAGAGCTTTGGAATTACCAACATTACTATACCATGCATACTTCATGCATGTTTCTCCTTTCACAAATAGTGTCGAGTTGTTTATAGTGTAATTTGAACTAATAATGTGATTATTGGTACAACATTTTTTTTTAAACAAACTATTGGTACAACATATTACTAGTGTATTAATAGTGTGACTGCATACATATATGAATACCCCGTATCATTTTATTAAACTTATTGCAAATAGTGTAATTTGAACTAATAATACGACAATTAACATCTTTATCCATTGGAAAATGTAGTTTTAATCATTTCTTGGGATGATAAATTTAAAACACATTAAAAGAGAATAAGATCAGAGTACCTTAAAAATAAACAAATGGTTTCTCAACTGTCCCTGTAATTTATCACAAGAAAAGAGCAAGATCACATACAATTACAATTTGTTTTTGATGGAATACTTGACACTTTTTTATGTCTAGTGATAGAGAATCTTTGCAAGTAATTTTTGTAATGTCACAATCTAACATTTTTTTTTTTAAAGTAACCAAAAGAACATTTTACATAAATAATTCAAAAACATCAAAACAGGAATTCAGGATCAGTTTCATGTTTGAATCCCTCATTTCATATTAATCCATGGGAAAAGCTAAGTTCTTAGACAGTTACTACTCCGTAGTATCTATCCCAAATCCCAAGCAATTGTGTACCAAAAATTAAATTAAAAATCAAAAGGCAAGAAAAAGGGCAAATAACACAAAAAAATAATTCTGTAACATTGATTGTTCATTATACCAGCATAATTTAGCAAAGTTTTACAAAAGGTTACTTTTTTTTTTTACTTACAAGTACTTATAGTACTAATTAAACTTCTTTAAAACACTCTACTCTTAAAATTAATTAATCTAACCTCATCATTTAAACTTCATATAATTAATTAATTTAATGACATCTTTGCTGACCTCTTACCAGCCACCATACTCTCTTCTTGCTTCTCTTTCTACAATCATCTAGTGCAGTCCGTTAAACTGATGATGTTGTTGATGATTATGCAACTCCGCCGTCGTCCAAACACCGTTGAAATCATCTTCATTATTGTTGCAATTTGTAGTCGTAACACCCACATTTGAATTATTGTTATTATTAGTATTGTGATTATCAGCGTAATTAGCAGTAGAATTTGTTTGAAGTTGATCAAATAACCATTCAGTAGGACCACCTACGTCAATTTTATTACTATTTCTGCTGATATTCTCTAAATTCTTGAACAAACTTATACCTCCTCCTACAGATAGCCCTTTATCTTGATGATTATTGTTGTTTTCGTCGATTTGATTATCAACTGTTGGTTGTCCATAGATCATGGCGAGTCTTTGTTGTTGTAGCTTCCAGTGCATCTCTTGATTAATCGAGCTTAACGACTCGATTGAGGAGATCGAAATGGTTTGATCACCTACACCACCGCCCCCAGCTAGAGATAAGGAGGATGAGGAGGAAGAAGAGGAGTTTCCTGAGTTTGGAATTGTTGGGTAGTTATTACCGCCTATACCCAACAAGTCCAAACTAAAACACCCTCCAGTTCCGGGGCCTACAGGCGGATGGTGGGCCCCGGAACTGGCGATAAACTGGGTGTAGACCCCTGCCGTAGCTGGGTGGAGCCTAGGGAAGGAGAGCCCACCCAGCTGAAACTCCATGGCGGGGGCCACTGTTGGCGGGGCCAGGAACTTGAACTCGGAACTTCCTGGCCCCGCTGACAGATCAAAGCGTGAGGAATTAGATATAGATGATGGTGGACATGAATTAGAGGGTTTGTGTTTTTTGGTTTTACGGCAACCGCCTCCGATGGGGACGTTACGGAGGGCCCCACCTTTAGTCCAGTACCTCCTACAAGTCTTACAAAAGTGTCTAGGTTGTGTTAAGCTGTAATTGTTGTAGTAGCAGAATTTCGTGTTGGAGGAATCACAACGAGGGCACTTGAGAGCTGGTGGCTGTTCTGGTGGTTTTTGAGAAGTTTGTTTTCGGGCGTTCGCGGTGCCGCCGTTGTTGTTGTGATCTGATGGATGTGCCACCGGAGGGATGTTCTCCGATGACATCATTTTTTGGTGGGTGTAAAATGAGGTGGATGTGAATGATTGGTTTTAAAATGGGGTGAAAGTGGGTGAACTTGTGAAATTCATCAAGGAAGAAAAATGACTAAATGAGGTGAGGCTTTATGGAGTAGAGAGAGAAAGAGAGGAGAGAGAGTAGAGGTTGCTAGAAAAGGGGTTTGGGATATATATAGCCAATTAATATGAAAACAACATCATGGTGGAGAAGATTGTAGTATGTACAAGAGACAAAAACTAATTTATGATAAATGTGATCTACCTTAATTAGTTTGTATTGTGGTATACCTTTTTATTCTAAGCTTCTTACTTGGAATGTTGGGTTTGTTTGTTGATTTAGGATGCATTATTTGTCTTGCCTTAACTTATCTTAGTTAAGTATATTTTTTAAATTTGTTTTAGTTTGTAATACGGTGAAAAATAATAAGTTTGAAAATACAAAATGATGTTTAATTAGTTTAGGAAAAATTAAAAGATATTTAAGTTTAATTTAAATTAGGGGTGAGCAAATCGAGTACCCGGTCAAAATTTTAGGATCCGGACCCAGAATTGGTTGGGACCGGATCCTAAAATTTGGAACCGGAATTGAAACCGGTACAATCGGGTCCTAAAATTTAGTAATTGGAATTGGTTCCACCGGGTACCGGTTTTGATTCCGGATACCCACTTATATATATATATAAGTGTTGAAATATAATACAAATCATAATATTTTTTTGGTTTATTTTTACTTTTAGCGTTTAATACTTATATTTTTATATACATTAAGCTATTTTAGTTATATTAAATATTAACATTTTTTTTATTTTACTAATTAGTTACGTTCAACATATTTTTGTTTTTTTAAATATATTTTGTACAATATACGTTGGGTAACCGGTATAGTAGAGCGGAGAGAAAAATCTAGAAGTTTTAGGGTTTTGTTTGATAGTGGGTTGAGAGTTCTATTAGCAATTGGGCTTAGAAATTAAAATGGGCTGTAGATAACGCTTTAATTTCTTAAAAACACAAACAATTCACATACTATATCAAATACAACCGGGTACCCAGTGAATACCAGGTCCAAAATTTAGGATTTGGAACCGAAACCGGTTACAACCGGGTCCGAAATTTTAGACCCGGTCCTGGAACCGGTGAGACCAGTTCTGGATCCGGACCCGATACCGAATACCCTGGGTCTTTGCTCACTTCCACATTTGTGGTACGTATTAAGAATTTTTAAAATAATAAAATCATGAATGTGTTTAGGTTAATAAGTTTGTTAATTCCTGCAAAGATAATAAATTAACATTAGTTGTAAAGAAAGGAATCTAGGTGTTTGGAGAGTTAATTGATACTCCGTAATAAATTTCAGAAGTACTTAAGATCCACCAATTCTTCCGAGATCCTAATTAATACTCCGTATAATCTTTAGTCATGACCAATATTCTTCAAAAATTATTTTATGCTTTAAAATGGGTCTTCAATGTGAAGCTAAGGATCCTTGAACATAAATGTTTTTTTTGTTTTTAATAATGACTTGCTAGTAGCGCATACTTAAAACTCCAAGAAAATCATCATCTCGGGTTCTTTTTCTCCCAATTTTAATCTTTATATTGTGCATTAGAAAGTATTACCTCCGTTTCTAAAAATTCGACTCACTTACTATTTATGTGCTCAAAATAAGTTAACTTTGAGCACATTTGTTTTATATTATAGAAATAAGTTAGATGTGATATCTTATTAGATTCCACTTGTTATAAAATCCGAAATAACAACTTTTTATAATTTTCACTTTTACATAACCAAACATATTTTAGGTCAAAGATGTATGTTTATTGGAGACCCGCAATGTAAAGTGAATAAACAGGAATAAAAGGAGTATATTTAGTAATGATAATTTGATAATGATTCAATCATGTCATATAAGAACATTCTGCATTAAGGTATTACCCTTTTGAGGATATTTACTGGTACAATTTTAGTATAGCTTCGAAATATTACCACAAATTTACAAGTACAGCGAAATCTCATTTACCAATTAAACACTTTTAAGTTTTGGGTCTTTGCAGATATTCGTGTCCATAATAAAGTGATTAAACAAGTAAGAGTACAAGGATAGATTTAGAAAATGCACACTTAAAGTACGTACATACGTCTTTGAGCATTGATTTAAATACGATTAACTTAGGAAATGAAAGTGGAAATTTTCAACCAAAACAAGTAAAAAAATGACATTAAAATGATGAATGAAACTATTACGAGTAGGACTCCGTATTAAAATGAGGATTCAACGATAAAGCTCTTATTGATCGTATACGAGTAATCTGAAGTTGGGATCGATAAACGACAAAGTTGAATATAACATTTATAGTACTCGGGCCGTAATGCAGATATGTATGTAGGATGATGGAGATGTTATATTGTAGCAATGGCAGTGAGCTAGGTGAGTGTATGATAGTATGAGTATGAGAAGGGAATAGTAGTACGGAGTATGTAATTAGGTATGTAATAGGTAGCATTTAGAATAGATAATAGAGTGATAATGAGCTAGGGATGGACTGACAGCCCACGCCACTGGCAGCATTGGTCTAACTTATGATGAACTGTCAATTTTTACCCTGCCTCACTCACATACCCCAGCTAACTCACTTAAAGCCCTACCTCTATCTTTTGTCTCTTCTCTCTCTCTTAAATTGCACCATTCTATTTGTATTTGTATTTGAGGAATTATTGTAGCCGTATATGGGTGATAAGTTTCAAGGAGTCATAACAACAACGTGCATTTTACAATTTCACATCACTACTAGTACATCAAGGTGTACACCATTATATTATCTCATGAAGGATCTCTAAGCTAGAAAGAAAAGAAAAAAAATTAAAATATATTTATATATATATATATATATATATATATATATATATATATATATATATATATGTTGCTAATGCTTTTGCTTACTTAACTAAATTAAAAAGTAGTATTATAATTACTATTACTATTAAAAAAAACATAAAGGAAAAAACAAAAAAATTATTAAAAAAATAAATAAAAACATAAAAAAATAAAACAAAAAAAACCCAAAATTCCCAACCACCTTTAACCACCACCAAACCCAAACCCCACCCCTAAACACGCCGGAAACCGGCCGGCCATCCCCCTTAACCAACGAAAAGGGCCAGCCGTTCCACAACCACCCCATCTGACCTACCCCCGACCCCCGAAACCATCCACCCAGCCACCCTTACTCCAAAAACCACCAACATTTCCGCCGTTTTCTAGGATGAAGAGGTTTGCGAGTGAGAGGGAAGATTGAGGGGGTTGCCTAAGAAAGCCTCGTTGCTGAATCGACGGCGCCGACGATCACGTAGCGAGTGAGAGGGAAGATTATATTGCGGTGATTCTTGGTTATGCGTCGGTGGTGATCACTACAAAATTAAGTAAATATAGCAACAACTTAATTTGTTGCTATTCACCAAAAATCCGTTGCCAACACTAGTTAGCAACGGGTTGGAAACGGAAATTTATTGTTGCTAAAAGGCTTGAAGCCATGGGATTTTGGCTACCAACTGCAAAACAATTTTGTTGCAATATTGCATTCATTTAAATATAGTTTCCATGATGGTTACTATTCTTGGTGCATGCGTTGCCAACTTTGGCAACAGATCACCATTGGTTGTTGCTAAAAGTAGCAACAAATTATTAATGTTGGTTTCTAAAAGTAGCAAAAAATTATTAATGTTGGTTCCTAAAAATAACAACAAATTATAAATGTTGGTTCCTAATAATAGCAACAAATTATAAATGTTGGTTCCTAATAATAGCAACAAATTATAAATGTTGGTTCCTAAAAATAGCAATAAATTATCAATGTTGGTTCCTAAAAATAGTAACAAATCATTAATATTGGTTGCTATCAAGTTGATCCCTTTACCAATCCGAAACCTCACTTGGGTCAACTCGGCTCGGCTTTGCATGTAAGGCTCTTTGAATCCCCTGTCTCAAGAATCGCAGCTAGTAGGAGTCGAACCTGTAACCTCAAAGTCACATGGTGAAACTCTTACCAACTATACCAAATACTATTTGTTAACTTCTATGCACATAATTAATAATAAGTGATCGAAATATTAGAGACGGAATTGAAAAATCTGTCTCTAAATTAGGGACGAAATCAAAAAACCGTCTCTAAGTTAGAGACGGAATTGAAATCCGTTTCTATTTGATGTCATTATAGCAACAAATAATAAGAAGAGTATCTCCAAATAATATTATACTTAATAGCTAAATGTGGCCTACTTATAAATTAACAACAAACTATAACACAACTTGTTTCCAATGGCAATAAACTAGAATTTGATGTCATTATAGCAACAAATAATAAGAAAAGTATCTCCAATGGCAACAAATAAAAATTTCGTTGTCATTAACTGACATTGGTAAATGGAAACAAAAAAAATGCATTATCATCTAGCAACAATAGTTTAGACGACTTGTATCTAATGGCAACAGTTCAAAAATTCATTGCCTTTGTTTGTTTTTAGATGTAACACCCCTAAATCTCCCTCTACGGAAATACTAATATAATACGTATACTTATACCGTAGAGATAAAGTTAGGCGTATTACCGCCACGTGATTACGCAAGGCTACCAAAACTACTAACCAAATCCAATACTTTGCAGCGGAAACTCAAACTCTTTCCTTATTAATAATAGCTATAAATAGAAACCATGTCATGAGTACTCATAATAAAAACAAAGACCAACATTCCTAATTCTAGGTGAAGAACATCCCTAGACTCCCACATGCTAAATTATTGACTACACCTGAAATAAATCGTCAACATTGCTTACCATTAAGGTAAACAGGGCGAACCAAAATAAATAGGAAATACGGGTTAGCAAAATATGCTAAGTACGATAAGTGCAAGATAAGTAAACTCAATTTATTTGCAAACATGCTTTTAAAACCAATTCCAATAATTAATCCAATAATTCCAAACTCATTATTCCAAAACCAATCCCAATAATCCAATATTTCAAATACTTAATTAATAAAACCAATTCCTCTTTTTAAATCCAATTCCTCATCCAAGTGTGCACACCCCCCAAGCTAGTCTCCTACTATTTCAAGGCTATTCTTGAGGAAAGACTCGGTCATGCAAAGTCCAAAGTCTTATCAACCAAATCTGCATAGTGAGACTACTATCAACTGTAGGATTATAATAGATGCACTTAGCGAAATTTCAAGAAACAATTTCTTAGCATCTTAAACAGGATCTC